AGAACGGCCTTTGAGTTCCACTTTTGTGGAAATACGGCTAAAACCAGCGGTTGAAACCGTCGTAAGAAACTACAATGGCATGGCCGCTCTCAGGTTTCTCTCTGTTCTAAGTAGTGGCCGCCATTTTTGTAAGCAGTTGCAACTGCTACATGAAGCTGCTACGTAGCGCTAACTTCGGCAAAACACACCCAATCACTTCTGATTGGATCATACTTTTGGAACCGCAGCAGATTTTGAAGAATAGTCCCATCATAAGTGATGATTTCTCAACCGTTGAGTTGTCTGAACGCACCCAATGACTATGTTCAGCAGACTGAGCAGATCAGTGAGCACTTAGTGATTCTTCAATATGATTGGTTTCTACACTTAGGTCCAGCGAAGATCTAAAGGCAAGATTCAATCATATTAAAGATTCACTAAGCAATCACTGATCTGCTCAGTCTGCTGAACGTGGCCAATGACGCAATGCTCTTTGAACGCAGCCCATATCATTGTGTGCGATAAGTCAAAAAGTCAAAAATCAAAATTGTCGATAAAACTGATACGCATAGTCATCTTACTTAAAATGGAATTGAAATGTGCAGTGAAAGACTATAACTGGGGAAAATATGGCATGGACAGTATTGTCGCATCTTTGATGGCATCTGCTAATACCGATTTTGTAGTGGATAAACAAAAAACTTATGCAGAATTATGGATGGGCACTCACGAAAATGGTCCGTCATTTTTCAAGGATACAAATGTTTCCTTGCATAAGTATATTCAAGATAATGTCAAAGTGTTAGGTGATGATGTAGTACAAATATTTGGCTATAACTTACCTTTTCTTTTTAAAGTTTTGTCTGTAAATAAGGCTTTGTCCATCCAAGTGCACCCAAACAAGGTAAATATTTGTTTCTGTATGAATTATAAAAATGTATAGTATAATTAATTTATTTGACTTGGAGTTTAGGAGAAAGCAAAAGAACTGCATACATTATATTCAAACATTTACAAAGATGCAAATCATAAACCAGAACTTGCAATAGCTTTGACCCATTTTGAAGCACTATGTGGATTTCGTCCAATCAAGGAAATAAAAGATTATCTCCAAAACATACCAGAATTACATGTTGTAATAGGAGAAACCAATATTTCTTTGTTACTTGGAGCAACTGATTCAATGATCAATGATATTTTGCGACAATGCTTTTATACTCTTATGACTTGTACTCCTAATGAAGTAGCAAGACAATTAGAACATTTGATTAACAGATTACATAACAAAGGTATAAGTTTATCTATAAAAAGTTAGTATTGTATCACATATAAATAAAATAATTCTTGAAGAAAAAGACAAAAATATTTTAGAATTTGTACTGCATTTTGTAATTTTAGAATATTTTTGTAATTTTAGGATAGTGATATTTTCTAAAAATATTTTTCTCCTAATATTATATATATATATACACATAATATATGTATATATACACATATATATACAGAGTGTCCCAGAATTCGTGTAACATCTCTCGTAGACAGATAGAAGAAGTAAAACTGAGTCGATAAGTCCTATACCATTTTGCTAGATTCGTAATAGTTACCGAAATCTTAATTAANAAAGATCCGCGAATAAGCGTGCATCGGGCTGTCTTACGCGCGTAGGACAGCCCGGCGCGCTTCACACAATTACATTTTAATATGTATATATTATAGTATATGCTGTTATATATTAGCTCCTCCCATATGCTGCTACGGGTAACACCATAAGCGCGCGAAGCGCGTAAGACAGCCCGATGCATGCTTATTCGCTGATCTTTGTTAATTAAGATCTCGGTAACTATTGCGAATCTAGCAAAATGGTATAAAACTTTTTGACTCAGGTTTACTCCTTCTATTTGTTCACGAGAGATGTTACACCAATTCTGGGACACCCTGTATATATATAGTTACAATTTATAATTCACAAAATACTTTGAATACCTATACTCTTTCTCAGTTGTATAGAAAAAAAATATAACTATCAATTTGCTCTTAGATGATTCTTACAAGCAATGGATAAAAGCTGATTTGTTGAAACGTTTGTATACGGATTATCCAGGAGATGTAGGCTGTTTTACTATATATCTTTTTAATTATGTAATATTGCAGCCAGGAGAAGCCATATACATTGGACCAAATGTACCTCATGCATATCTTTTTGGTGGTAAAATTATTTATCACTTTAATATATTTTATATTTATATTTTACATATACGTGTGTGTGTGTAGTCAAATGCAAGAATATTTTATAATTAAAATAATTTCTTGAGAATTCAACATTTTTAGATTGTATTGAGTGTATGGCATGTTCAGACAATGTAATAAGAGCTGGGCTTACATCAAAACCTAAAGATGTAAAAACTTTAATCGAAATATTGTCGTTTGACTGTGAGTCAGCTTCTAATAAAAAGATTGAATCATTCCGAGAAGACGAATTTACTGAAATATTTCGTCCGCCAGTACTCGAGTTTGCAGTTGCAAAGATCATTGTGAGTTTTACTATTTTGTCACTTCAGTCACTAATAAAACTTATTTATAATAATTTTTTCCCATCATATGGATATGTATCTTAAAATTTCATAGCTCCTGCCTGGGCGATCAGTACATAATCTAAAGTCGCGAAATTCTGCCAGCCTTTTGTTAGTAATGAGTGGTGAAATAGAAGTATCTTCCAAAATTTTTCCTCGCGGAACTGTTATGTTTATTTCTGCCAACGATACAGTAGAAATTAAATATTCCTGCAGTGATCCCATATTGATGTTTCAAGCATTTTCGAATGTGTGACAATACAACTATTTTATATACTTTGCAATATAATCCAACATTTAAAGTAACAGATATTGAATTGATTTTTAAATAATTTTTTTTGTCAGAGGTATATTTTTTAATTGTAGTATATATTACACACACACTATCTGTTGGCTTTATTTATGTTAGTATAGTGAGAAATAGTAAATACATTTGTATTGATAAATAAAATTGTGTAAATATATATATATATATGTATGTATGTATGTATGTATGTATGTATGTATGTATGTATGTATGTATGTATATACACATATAAGAAAATAGTCAATCATCTTCTGATTCATTGCCTTTCTTTGAAATGTTCTCTCCAGATTTTTCCTCGTCTTTATAATGTCGATATTCTGGTTTCAATTCCCACATGTTTCTATGCGGATTTTTTAAATTATAATTGCAAACTTCATTAAGGATTTCTTTCAAATAGACCTGAAATTGTTATAACAAAATTTTTATAATAGAGTAAAAACTTAACTTCTAAAATTATTTAGATTGTATATCGTCAGAACTCTTAATTCCTGGCATATAGAGATATCACTGTAATGTTTTCTACTGTATAATAACTTGGTTTAATTTAAGAAGTTGAATTAATAGCTAAATTAATATTATAATAGCTATTAATATTATAATAGCTATAATAGCTATTAATAGCTAAAGAATCCACATACGTAATTTTATAAAAAGTAAGGCACAACAAATGTTGAAGGTAAAAAATATTACATGGTAAATCTAGCATTTCTATAAATGCTACCTAAAGTTAATCAGTCGGTACATGAGAATATACTAGATGACCGATAAATAACGTATAAATTGATGCTAATCGATCTAGAAAACAGCATGACAATACGTAAAAATAAGTAATAAGATTTAGACAATGCACATTTATACTCAATGAGTATAAGTCTTTGATTTCATTATGTTTATATATAAAAACTAAAACTATTGTAATATATACTTACTTAAAAAAAATGCATGTTTGTAATTAAATCCCATTTACTGTTCTATTTCTAAGAATAGTAAAAAAAACTATTATATTCATAATCATGATTAATAAGCTTATTTGTAAAAAAAAACTTTGCTAAATAGATGCCAATCAACAGACAAAAGATCATTTCTCTTTCTCAAAATACTTTAGTGTATGTCGCATCATATCCGGAATTAAGTAACTTGAGTTCTAATTCCGGACACTCTTTCAAGGATAATTTTTCCTTGAATATGAAAAAAGTTATCAAGAGAAAATGAACTCATCTTTTGTTATTTGCGAGCTTTTTATCTGAACTTTTTAAACTTCTCTGGGATTTTTTTTCGAAAATATTTAGTTTTTGAAAACTAAATATACTAAATATAAAACTATAAAAAGAATATTGAAATGTAACTGGAATTAGAGGTTCTGACGATAATAAAAAATAATATATATTTACAATAGGTTGTCTTGTGATCTTAACAAGGTCCCTTATATTATAATACTGATGTTTCTCAAATGCAACAAAAAGCATATCTAGTACAGCATCCTTATCATCTCTCATCTTTTTTCCTTCTGCTTTCTTCTTTTCAGCATATTCAATCTGTAAAAACTTGACTATAAAAATCACAATAAATTACATTAACAAAAAGAAAAATACAGCTTACATTATGTTTGTGATCTGATACAGGCTTGAAATTTTGCACAACTCTATCTAACTGTTGAACTTGTCTTTGTGGCACAGAAGCTCTTTTGATACTTTCCAATTTTAACTTCATATAACAATTATCCGCTAAAACATTTCAGTAAAAACTGTTTTTAAAAAAATAAAGGTAACTCGTATATAACGCGGATATTCCGTTTTATAAAAATGCCAAGTTATATTTAAAAAAAAAAGTAAGAAGGCGCCAAATATACGCACGTATAGTATTTAAATTAAGAATCTTAACTCAAACTTTGTCATTATTATTTTTATTTATACAAAAAAATTATACAAAAAAATTTTAATAATCAACACGAAAAACGCTCGTAATATAAACAATATTTAAAAGATAAAAACAGGTCTCTTATACGAGCAATGTAGGAACTTTATTAACAATAATCCGCAATGTTTAATATCGTGGTAACAAAAAATAATAAATAATATAAATAATATAAATAAACGTTTCCACCCTACTTGAGTCCTCTTCAGTATATATAAGTCAAAGATGTCACAATTTGATCTCGTTATAAATGCATAGTTGTTCTTGATAAAAACAAATGAGAGCGAGTTCTTACTTGAATAGAAATTCCGTCCTAAAAACAGTAACACTAACGAGATCAAATTGTGACATTTTTGACTTATATATACTGAAGAGGACTCAAGTAGGGTCGAAACGTTTATTTATATTATTTATATTATTTATTATTTTTTGTTACCACGATTAAACATTGCGGATTATTGTTAATAAAGTTCCTACATTGTATAATGTAGGAGGTCTCGTATAAGAGACCTGTTTTTATCTTTTAAAAAAATTTTAGTTTTTATTTTATATAAACAATTCTTCTTCTATAAAATCTGGTTTACAAAATATTATATATTACATAACATTCTTTCTCTAAAACTCTGTTTTATAAAAAAAAGTGATATCAAAAAGTAGCACCAAATAAACTTTTGAACGTTTATTATACAATATTAAAAAACAATATACAATAGAAAACTAATATACAATAGCATAATTGTGTTCATAGTAAGACTACGCCTTAACTTTTTTCCGTGATTAGTAACTAATCCTAAATACATACCTATGTCGAGATATTTAAGGCTTCCGAAAATTGAACAAATATACAATAAAAGGTCTTGGAACTGTTTGCTGGATGTATACATATATATATATATATACAGGATGTCCCAGAATTGATGTAACATCTCTCGTGAACAAATAGAAGGAGTAAAACTGAGTCAAAATGTCCTATATCATTTTGCTAGATTCGCAATAGTTACCGAGATCTTAATTAACAAAGATCAGCGTATGAGCATGCATCGGGCTGTCTTACGCACGTAAGACAGCCCAGTGCGCTTCGCGCGCTAACGGTGTTACCCATAGCGACATATGGGACGAGCTAATATAACAGTATATACTATAACATATACATATTAAAGTGTAATTGTGCGAAGCGCGCCGGGCTGTCCTACGCGCGTAAGACAGCCCGATGCACGCTTATTTGCAGATCTTTGTTAATTAAAATCTCGGTAACTATTGCGAATCTAGCAAAATGATACAGGACTTATCGACTCAGTTTTACTCCTTCTACCTGTCCACGAGAGATGTTACACCAATTCTGGGACACCCTGTATATACACGCATATTTCAGCACAAACATCGAGCAAACGGTTACAAGACCTTTTATACATACCTATGTACTTTGATAAGATTATATTTATTACTAGAACACAGAGATGTAACATAAGAAAAACTTTTTTCAAAATATAAAAAATATTTAATGCAAGAAAACTTGGCGTGGCTGCATCGAAAGCGTACAGACAAACATATCTTACGCGTGCAAGCTATATACAAACTGCAGATAGACATATTCTACGCGCACGCGCGAGCTTTATAGCTATTTACAATTCATATATTTTACATTAAAACAAAAACTACTGAGTAGCTATTATACATCAGACTGCCGCACAAAAGAAATAATTTCATTATAGTTGAAATGCAACCGCGCCAAGTTTTTTGCATTAAATATTTTTTATATTTTGAAAAAATTGTTTTATTTTGTTACACCTTTGTGTTCTAAAAATAAATATAATCTTACCAAAGTACATAGTTATGTATATGTACGGATTAGTTAATAATCACGGAAAAAAAGTTAAGACGTAGTCTTACACAATTATGTTATTGCATATTGGTTTTCTATTCTATATTGTTCTCTATTGTATACTGTTTTGTAACAATACAATAGCGTACAAAAGTTTACTTGGTATTACTTTTTGATATCACTTCTTTTGTAAAACAAATTTTTAGGAAAAGAATATTTTGTAGTATATAATAACAAAAAACCAGTTAAGGCGTAGTCTTACAATTGACACAAGTATGTTAATGTACGTTGTATTTCTATTTTATATCGTTCTTCGATATATAAACGTCCCAAATAACCAAGACTGAATGAGCATATTTTGCAAAGTTTGCAATAACACATTATGTCAGTACAATGTAGCCAGCATTCAAACATAATTTGTTATTTCAACTAGTGTCGACAGAAAAACAAAAAATAAAGAGAATATAAATTTGTCACGCCGTGATGCAAATATATTATTAAATATATCACTTTTTTTTTTTTATAAAACAGGGTTTTAGAGAAAGAATGTTATGTAGTATATGTATAATATTTTGGGATAAAGTCCCGAAAATTTAAAACATCCGATTTTTCTGTCGATTGGTATATCACTGTAGTTTGGTGCGCTGATTAATATGATAGTGAAAATTACCGACAAGGCATTTTCAAAGTCAAAACTCAAAACAACTAAAAACTTATTTGATATAATTTGATATTAACATTTCAAAAAGAACAAGTACTTTTCTTACGAGTTATTGTAACTATTTTTTCATGTAAGTTTTAATTATTTTATGTTATATTATTTTTACGTTACATTTAAAGTCAAAATAACAAATCTAAATATAAAGTGTCAATTACTGAACATTACTACTTTAATTATTGTATTTGCATGAAGTAAGCCATCTTTCTTTACAGCTGATAAGCGTATACAGAGTCCGGATCTATCTCTTCCCGCGCGCTCATTGGGTCACAAATTGGGTTTATTAATTAAGTACTCAATAACTATTGTAAAGTTTGCAAAATGGCATATAACTTTTTTGTTCAGATTGACGTAATCTACCTTCACACTTCGACTCGATCAAAATTTTTGGGACACCGCCGTATGCACAGGTTGTTTGATAATCACCGTCTAAACGCTCATAGGTAGATAGAAAGGGTTATTCTAAGACAAAAAGTTCTATACTACTTTGCAAGATTCGCAATACCTAACGAAATATTAATTAATAAAGATCCGCTAATGAGCGTGCATCCAGCGTACGGACAGCCCCAGTCTGTCGCGCCGTAGCGACGGAATGAGGAGCTAATAAAATAACGTGCATACATAGACAGCATATGGGTTACGTTCGGGCAGCGCACTATCCGCGCTAATGTATTCCGTCGCTACGGCGCGACAAACTGGGCTGTCCTTACGCTGGATGCACGCTCATTAGCAGATCTTTATTAATTAAATAAAAAGAATTAAGGAAATGGCAATAACAAGCTAACACCAGCTGTTCGAGTATAATTCTTTTATAATTCTAAGATTTTAAAAAAGTTTTAACAAACGTTTTGATCTACTATGGGATCTTCTTTAGTGTTTAAAAAAAAAAAAAAAAAAAAAAAAAAAACTTACAAAAATACCGATATTTTCAAGTTTAAGAGGCGTATGGATAATAAAAAATACGCTACATAGATATTCAGTATGAGAAAAAGAGAGGCGGAAATGGTAGTCACGTAGCCGTCAGTATTACGCAACAGGACGCAAACCGT